ATTCTTTTGCATTTCTTAAAACATTTTTATTGATTCTAATAACTAAAATATGTGTTATTAAATTTTTTTTTTCTTTTGAATTATAATAACTATCATTAAAAAAATTTCGATAAACAATATTAAAATCGTGTAACAGCAAAAATAAACTTGCCCAATGATTTTCGCGTTACACGTGATCTTCAAATCTGATTGGCCGTTGCGTGTTACGCGTCTGTTTTTGTGTATACGTATGAGAATATAAATTGATCGTTTTTTTTCTTACCTGATATCAAATCAAAACTTAACCTTTTTGTTTTGCTAACCTTCTTTCTTTCTTTCGCTTAGATTTATTTATACCTATTTTCTTTCTTAACTTTTTTTGTTTTGTTATAATAAAAAGTATTTTTTTTTAGTATTATTAAAGTTTATCAAAAAAAAATAAAGCACCTAAAGTGGTTATTTAATGAAGTACAACATAGCTGATAGAGAAAAAAAGAAAACTTATTAGAGCAAGGCTAAAAGGCTATATATAAGGTAGTTATATTTATTTAGTAAAAATCAGACTTTTTAGATTACTTTTGATAGGCTAGCATTCAAGGGTGTTAGTCAAATCTGAGGATTAATTATTGAAGTAACAACATATAGAATATGGAGATAGTTGGTTTTAGAAGAAAAGTTATTTATGTTTTTTTTATTAGTATAAGAAATTTTGTCTGTTTATTAAAAAAATATATTTCTATTTAATTTTTTTAATAATTAATATTTTTTTTAATATTGTATCTATTAGAATAATGATATTATTATTATTTCTAATTTTTTGAAAGCTATTTTTTTGAAATTCTATTTTTCTAATATATTTATTTTAAAAATCTCTTTTCCTAACAGGCTATATTACTGACAAGCTATTTATTTGATAGGATATTTTGCTAAAAGTTTTTTTTTTTGAAATGCTAATTTATTAATAACCAAATATTCTGATTATAGATTTTATTAATATTTTTTCTTTTTGAAAAAAAACATTTTTTTAATAGTCAATTTAGCTAAAAAGAAATTTTTTGAAACTTTATTTAATAACAAAATAGAGTACTAGTTAATTCTTAACTAACAGATTATAATCTTAATATTAGAATAATTTATTTATATAATTTATTTTATTTTTTAAGTAATTATTTCTTTTTTGTTTTTTTACTAACTTTTTTTTTTGTAAAGACATATTTTTCACTAAAATTGTAGGAGTAATACTATTTAAATATCAGCTATTTTTTTTTTATCTTAATTATTTTTTTTTGTTAACTAATTTTGCTTTTTTTTTGTAAGTATATTCTTTGTTGAGATCATTAAATATTATGCTAAATTGTGAATCTATTTTGTAGGACTAGTACAATTTAAATACTAGTTTTCTTTTTTCTATTTCTTTTTTTCTTTAACTAACTTTTTTTTTTTTATAGATATGTTCTTCACTAGAATTATAAAATGAGCATTGAGCTTATAAATTTATTTATAAAAGTAATACTAGTTTCTTTTTTATTATCTTATTTTTATTCAACAACTAGCTTTTTTTTTACAGATACTTTTTTTGTTAAGATTATAAAATAGTGCACTAAACTATGATTTATCTTGGAACTAATATAATTTAAGGACTAGTTCTCTTTCTTTGATTTCTTTTTTTTTAACTAATTTTTTTTTCTTTTTTATAGAATTATTATTGCTAGGAGTATGAAATAATATACTATTTTATATTCTCTGGTAAAAATAAAATCTAAGTTTTGAGAAAGCCATAAAAAAAAAATATTGCTAAAGAAGTAGCAGAAAAAATAAGAAATAGAAATAAAAAAATTAATATCTAAAAATAAACTTAATAAAAATTCAACAATTTAATTTATACTATTTTACCAAATACAACAAGGTAAAATTTATAGTTTAAATAATATTTTAAAATAAATTAAGAATTTTATAAAAAAATACTTATGGTTTTCAAAATTATTGAGAAAACTCATATTTGAATGATTTTGTATACCTATATCTGAAGCACTTTAGTGATGTAGCCTCAATTCATTATATAGCTAGAGAAATTTCTTAAGTATCATTAAAAAAATATAACATTCACAATTTATATAGTTTTATGAAGATAATGTCATATTGAACTATATCTGATAATCATATATTTTAGCATATTACAAAATACAAAAAACCTTTTTTTCTCTAATATTTTGATGCTTTTTTTTATTTTAAATAATTTATTTAACTGTATAAAAATAATGATATTTCTTGTACTGTAGATATTTTTTATGAATTTATTTTATTCTTAATAAAATATGATATTTTAGATATATTTGAAAAATTTTTTCACTATACATATCTTCTACTTTCAAACTAATATAGCAATTACAGTAAAGTATATAATTTTAATAATTTTGAGCATAAACTCAAAACTTAATAGCAACAATAAATAGAGTTACCTATTTTTTCATAGTACTGTTTAATATAATTTTCATTATACTTATTAAAAATCTTTAGTTAAATTATTAGTTCTCTTAATGCCTATAGATGACTCCTATTATCCAAAATATTGTCTTAATTCATTTATTAGGACTACGAACCTACTATACAGCACTGCATATAGTATTCTTAGTCTTTTTTAAAAAGTATTATATGAAGAAATAGATACTATATGAGAGGGATACTATGAAAGTTTTAATCATGTGAGTTAATCATATAATATATGAATATAGTAAAAATGAGTTTTTTGAAAATTGATTAGTACTGGAATACTTTTCAAAAAATGTTAAAATTTATAATTAAATAGTATTCTGATACTATTCAAAGAGGGTATTTTCTAGGGAGATACTGTATGTAGTACTGTACAGTGTTTAATTATTAGCCAAATTTTTAACTGCTCTGTAAATTAAGATTACTCAAAGGTCATATATATCTAGAACTTAAAAATTTATATTATTTCTAATGTATTTTGTATTATCTAGTATATTTTTATACTATATGCATCATCAGATGCATAGATCTAAAATTATATTAATATATAATTCAAAAGCTTTTTAAACTTTTTATTATATAAAATACTAGTGCTTAGCAAAATCAATCAAATTTTTGTTTGATTTTGCTGAGCACTACTTCTTTAACATTTTTTTTTTTTTAATACTGTTGTGAATTTTTTTTCTTTAGAGAATGCAAACTGGTGCTAATAATAATTACACTAGTAATAGTGATCTTGGTCTAGGAACCAGTATATATACTAGTATATTTATTATATATATTTCTTTGTTATTTATTCTTTAACTTTTTTTTTCTTTTGTAGATTTTGTCTTCTTTTCTGAATACGAAATAGTAGGTAATGATTTTAGGCTAGTATAGCTATTATCTGTTTTTTCTCTCCTTTCATTAACTAACAGATTTTGTAACATTATACTTATAATAGTAATCTGATAAGAGAACTGATATAAGAATAAGTATTAGCAATTATTTTATTTTGTTGTTTTTCTTTTTTTTATTTCTTTAATTAGTATTTCTTATCTTTTGTAAGTTGTTTTCATCAGGGAACATGAAATGGAGTTGGTAAGAGCGTCTAGAATATTTATATATTTAATTCATCAACTTTTTGAGCATGTAAATATTTTTTATTATTTTTATGAAAATGTTTTTTTCTGATTTTGTTAATACAAGCATACAATCTGTAGTTTTATCAATTATAATATTATAATTGCAAGACTTTTTAACAAATTTATCTTGTAAGCTTTTCTATTAAATAATTCAGTAAATATTATATTTTTAATGTTTTAGAATGCCACCTTCAAAATAATAGGATTAATAAAATTTTTTTTCTATTGGTTTAACTTGTCATCTGTAATATTTTAAAATCTTTGTAGAGATTTCTGGTGATGAAAATGAAAACTCACAATTTTATTACAATAATGACTTAACTTCTTTTTCTAAGAGTTTATTGAGTATTAGCTTGGAATAATCTATGCTATTTAATTATGAGGAATGGGAGCTTCTCTTTTATTAAATGAAGACAGCCAATGGACATTCAATGCTTTAATATATTTTATGACCTAAGAGACCTGATCTACTAGAGGCTTAGTGTCTGTCATATCAACCGCTTACACATAATAATAGTTTGTTAATTATATTCAAAAATTTTAATAAATTAAAATTCGCAAACTTAATTATCATCCATAATTAATTTTGGATCAGTTTGGTTTTAGGTCTATTATCTATGGAAAATACTTTGCTCGGTCAGAATTGCCGAAAAAGTGGATAAATTTGTATATACAGTACCTAATAGTAGAAGAAAAAAACTATATAACGGATTTTTAAAAAGCATATTACTATAGGTATATACAATAAAGTATCTCAAAATTTTTATGAAATCACTTTTTTGGTCTTGTAAAGTTTAGAATAAAAATACAGTATATTTTTTAAACGCATTATCTAGTGATCCGGTGATAGAACCGAATCACAAGAAAAGCCAGTTCTTCAAAACACTGAATTAAATAATATATTGTGTGTAAATTTTTGAACTATTCCTGTGTTAATTTCATTAATTACCTCTAGTACACAATAATATTTTTAATCGATATAATTTAGCTAGCACTAGTATATCTTTCTAAGGAGATATCAAGATATTATTTATTATAAAAATTTAACATATGGGCGCTTCATATTAATTTTGAGTAAACCAGGTCTAAAAAATAATCGACAAATAGAAAACATACAGTACTATAAAGTATCCGCAGCATGACAAAAATCATACGGTCCATAGAAACATACGTAGTCAAATTCGTCTTACTAATTAATATATATGGGTTTATCATCTCCCGAAAAATACTATAAACCTAAATTCTGTGATAACTGGTGATATCGATATTCTATGATATTTTGCTGTGAATTTGAATTCGGTAGTTGGCGTAAAATTCTCTAGTGTTCTATTGATCACATAATCACTGTTTTAATATTTTATAAATATATGGATTAATCTATATATCGATATCTATATTTTTAAAAAAATGATTCAATTTCTTCCTAATGAGTTACAAATTCAAATTTTAAATGATGTTATAAATTATTCAAAGTAAGTTTACTAATAATTGAAATAAATATTTTCATCGAAATTTGATGTTTTTAATAAATGATAATAGTTTTGAATATTTTTGTATTCTTCGAACTGTTTGCAAAAAGTGGAACACATTCATTCCTTTAATAATATATGATGTCGTTATTTCCAGATTAAACTCTGGTTTAAAGCTTGAGGTAAATTAATTTTTTTAAAAATTAATCAATAATAATAATAATAATAATTATATAGTAATTATATGATTACCATTAGTTCACAGATTGGAACGAAACAAAATGGTCTAAAGAAATACCACCAACCTATGACGATTATACTAAGACTTTTACCTTTTTATTTGATACTGATTATAAAATTAGTGATCGTAAAAATGCTATCTTTAGACGTAATAGACGTAAAAAGATTGATTTCATAGCATTCGTTGAAAATACAAAAAATTTATTGATTACGACTAAATTTGGTATTATATTTGGTAAAATAGCTTGGCCTAAATTTATAAATGGTGATACATATAAACATGATTTCGATCGTCAAAACAACGTGTGTTTCAAACGAATTACTAAAAATACGAACCTTAGTTATTTAAAGCTTTCTAGTTTTACTATTGCAGCTTGGAAACTTTATTATATTTTAGATTGTATTCAAGTTGATGGGTATGTTTTTTTTTTGTATGTTTGTGTTTTGTTTACTTGTTATGTTTAGCTTTTGATTATTTATATTAAAGTGTTCTATTTTATATAATATTAGTAATTTTATAAAATTGAAAAAAGGTTTTCAATATTTTTGTAAAGACTCTTATTTTTATGAAGTTCCTGATTATTTGTGATTTTGATATAATTTTATATTAACTGCGTGAAATAATGTAAATTGTAAATATAATTCTTAATATATATATATATATTTAAAATCATTAAATCTAGTATATTTTGAATAAAATTATACTGTACTTATCTGTTATAACTATTATTAAATTTTGAAACAGAAATTATCTGTTCTAATTACTACATAAAATCTTTTATTTTGAGTAGTTGTTAATAAACTGAACATAGTGTCCTGCGTAGTTATTCAGTAAGTGAAAGTAGTTTACACATATATATATATATAATATATATATATATATATAGTATATATATATATCTTAATGCATTCTTGTTTCACGTTCTGTATATAAATGTAAAGGCTTAAGCTAAGTCACTAGTCAAAAAGGTCAAAACCTTAAGGCTAACTTTTGAAGTTGTAAGCAAACAAATCTTAATAATCATGAATTATTTTACAATTTAGAGACAATATCTAGACCTATCAATATCTTAATTATATAATAAATGAGAATAAAACGTATTGAAATTAAATCCCCACGACTACCCATTAAGTATATTAATTTTATTGCTAGTTAATTAATATAAGATATTAATACTTTATTACAATTATAATTACACGCGTACTGTATTAAAACATCCGATAATTTTTGAATTATAATGATCTCGAATAAAAATTTCTGTAGATTAGGAATTTATTATTCTCAAGAAAATATTATATAGTACAAAAAAATATTCAAAAACTTGCATTGAGAATTAACTATCAATGTGATCATAATCCTTTAATCTCTTTAATCTGTAAATCTTTTCTCATAGCATAAGCATCCTCACCATCTGCATAATATTTCTTTTCTACTTCATGAATTCTATTAAATAATAATAATAATAATAAACATAAATT